GTTTCTGCTTTTATTTGTTTTGTATGAATACTACATTGTTTGTATGTGTTTGTTTGTTTATTTGTTTGCTTGTTATTTGCTTCTTTTGTTGCATTGGCTTCTTCTTTTTAATTCTATTTGTTTTTTACTTCTTTTTACTTGTCTCTTGCTGCCGCAGCTGTTGCTGCTGTTGTTGCTACTGTCTGTTTGTCTGTCGTTATATTTGCGTATTAATTTTAATTGTTTTATTGTTTTTGTTCTTTTGTTTGTTTTTATTTGCTTTTTGCTTATTTGTTTATTTATTTATTTGTTTTTTGTTTATTTATTTACTTGTTTGTTTGTTTATTTATTTATTTATTTTTGTTTTTTGTTCTTACGTTTTTGTGTTTTTCAGGGTAAACACCGAAAGAGCAAGTCAGAGAAGAAGGTGAGGGGCTTTTATATTAATATTATGTTGTTTGTATTTGTTTATTTTATTAATTTCTTTTATTTGCTTCGTTATTCTGCTGTCTGTTTAGTTGTAGTAAAGCCTTCTTTAGGTGTATGTACACCGCACATATACACCTCATTCTCTTGCATGCAGGACTAGCAAAGACTTTAACCAGCAGGTTGTTCTTTGCGGGCCTTCGTTTGCTGCTGCTGATGCTGCTACTCATGCTGCTGCTGCTGCTGCTGCTGCTGTGTGGGGTGTCTGTACAGCGGAAGAAAGAGGGAAGCCACAACTCTTCGCATGCACAAACACGCGCAGCACCTGCTGGCGGTCTTTTAACAGAAATAAATGAAAGACAAAACAGCAGAAGCAGCTCGAGAGATATATTTGCTTTGCAGCCTCTAACAGAGGGGACGTTTCATGATGTGCCGCTGCAGCAGCAGCAGCAACAGCAGCAGCAGCAAATTCAGCAACAACAGCAACAACAGCAGCAGCAACAGCCATGGAGATTGTGAAGACGCGCTTCTGGGGCTTCGTCTGTCGCTTGGTTTTATTCCGGGGACCTACCGATGCTGCTGCTGCTGCAGCAGCAACAGCACCAGCAATAGCGGCAGCAGCAGCAGCAGCAGTGTGCTCTATTTGGAGCCTTGTAGATAACGTTTGCTGCTAGCAAGTGCACATACACCCCAAGTAGCTGCTGCTACACCCTCCGTTTGCATGCAAAAAGCAACACCAAAAGCCCCAAAGTATTGTAGGCCGTTGCTGCTTCACTTAAAGAAAGGCAGCAAAACAATTTGCTGCTGCAGTGCAGGCCTGTGTTGCTGCTGCTGCTGGAGCGGTTCTGCTGTTCCTTTGTTGCTGATGCGCAGCAGCAGGAACAGCAGCAGCACAAGCAGGAGCAGCGGCGGCAGCAACAGCAGCTACAACTACTCCAGCAGCAACAGCTGCAACTACTGCAGTAGCAGCAGCAGCAGCAGCAGCAGCTGTTGCTGCTGCAGCTAGCCGCATAGATAGATATTGTTGTTATTAACGTTAAGATATAAGGAATGGAGTTGCGTACCTAAGAAAAGGCATTTTGTTTCTTTGCAAGCATTTCTTTGCAGTATTTATATATAATATTATATTATATTAAAAATATATTTTAATTGATATTCTTGTGTTTGTTTTTGTTCTTCTGTCCCCTGCATGCAAATACAGACACGCAGCTCGGCGCCAGCTGCAGATTGATACGTTTACATCCAGTAGAAGATGCTGCTGTTGCTGCTGCTTCTGCTGTTGCTGCTGCCGCTCTTGTTGCTGCTGCTGCTGTTGTTGTCTCCACGACGGTGCATCTCTTGTTTGATATATATGCATATATATATGCATGTATGTATGAATATATATATATATATATATATATGCATTATATCTATTTTATATATTGTATAATAAATGTCTCCTCAGGCCTCCGCTGCATGCAAACAAAAGCCAGAGAGAAGAGGCCTCAATAATAATAATAAAAACTATTAATAATAATAAAAACTATTAATAATAATAGTAATAATAATAATATTATTATTATTATTACTGACAATATTGTGAATACTAATAATAATTATTATTTGACCCAACACAGGCGTCTCTGCACTTTCCGGTGTATGTACAGAACATACTCGTCATACTTTTATAATAATAAAATATTATAATAAACCTAATATATATATATATATATATGTATATATATATATATATATAGATGTAGGTATTGTGTATATGGTATAGTGTACATGTGCATGCATATATATATATATATATATATATATATATATATATATATATAAGGTGTATATATGTTATATATTTTATGTTTATACATATATGTTTATATATATATATACCTTTGCATGTGTAGTATATGAATCATACAGCAATATGTATATATGCAGGAGACAATTTGAATAATTGAATTGCTGCAAGTATAAAGAATAAGATTTAATGCATTTGAGGTGTCTGTACAGCTCACTGGAGACAGCAGCAGCAACAGCATTTGGGTTAATTCTTTTATTTCTAATTTTTTGCAGATATTTTTCTCTTAATAACTCTGCTTGCTTT